CGTCCTCTCATTCTCCTCATTCGCTCCTTCCTTCTTCCTAGTCCCATTCTCCTCCTTCTTTCTTTCTTCCTTCCTCTCTCTCTCTCTCTCTCTCCCTCATTCGTCTCTCTCCTTCTCTTCTCTCTCTCTCTCTCTCTCTCTCTCTCTCTCTCTCTCTCTCTCTCTCTCTCTCTCTCTCTCTCTCTCTCTCTCTCTCTCTCTCTCTCTCTCTCTCTCTCTCTCTCTCTCACTGTCTCTTGGAAAGGGGGGGAAGGTGTCATGTATTTTATCATATAAACGAAAACCATTGAAATGATGATCGTTTCCCCTTGATTTTTAAGAATTCTTTCTTCCACTTCCTATATTTATCGCACCCTGTTTCTTATTCCTCGATTTTCTTATCTTTTCGTATTTCATTGAATTTATCGCAATTCAACTTACCCCCCCAACAATATCCCTTCTCCTTTTCCCCTTTAATTCCCCCGCCATTCCATCCCCCCATATATATATATAATATATATAATATATATTATATATATATATATATAATATATATTATATATATAAATATATATATATAATATATATATATATATATATATATATATATATATATATAGTATATATATATATATTATCCACACCACACACCACACACACACACACACCACACACACCACACCACACACACACACACACAGCACACATATAATATATATATATATATTATATATATATATATATATATATATATATATATATATATATATATATAATACTATATATATATTATATATATATATATATATATATATTATATATATATTATATATATATACATTATCCACATTTGTACGATAAAATAAAACACACAAAAAGGTAAAATGAATCATAACGTTTCGAGCGATTTCAGACACCTCATCAGACGACAAAGAGCTGTGTTTGCTATTTTCTTTTTATCATTCATCACAGGAGAGTGTAAAAGAGAGTTGATGCATAGGAGACGAAAGAAAAAAAAAAAAAAAAAGAGAGAAAAAAATCAAGTGTCTTGTTTGGGTAAATTTAAGACGCAGGAGACAGCTCTTGAAAGGCATACTAATGAAGAAATCTTGTTTATGAGAAATTGAAGCAATCTGTTTTATGCAAAAATCTGTTTTATTTATTTCTTTTCCTCCTCTTCCCTCCCTTTCTTCTTCCTCTTTCTTATCCTTTTTCTTACTTTCTTCTTCTCATCATCCGTGGTATCATACTATCTATATTCTCTTCTTCTTCTTCATTAAGACTTCATCTTCCCTATTTCTCCTTCTTTCTTCCTAATCATCATCTTTTCTTCCTTTCTTACTTCCCCTTCTTTAAATCATTCTTCTCTGCTTCTTTCCTATTCTTTTCTTACTTACTTCTTCTTCTTCTTCTATCTATCTAATATATATTAAATTATTCTTTGCACTTGCGCACCAGACTTCCCAAACTTCGCTCACTTTTTTTTAATTTTGTTATCTTCCTCCTTTCTCATTCCTAATCTTTTTCTTGTTCTTTCTCTCTCCTCTATCCGCCGCTTCTCTCCTCCCCCCGCTTCCCCTTTCGTTTTTCCCTTCCTCGTTCTCCCCATCCCTTTCTTTTTTATTCTCATTATCATCTTTTCTTCTATTTCCTTCCTCCAACATCTCCTTCCCTGCTTTATATCTCATACTTTACTTTCTTTTACCTCTTCTTCTCTCCGCCTCCTCTTCTCCCCCTTCCTCCTCCTCATCTTCCTCCTATCTTCCCTCCCTCTCCTCCCTCACCCACCTTTTTAGTTCCTTCCTCTCCTCCAATCCCTTACCCCCCCATTCACTCCCTCTCCCTCTTCCCTCATCACCCATTCTCTCCCTCTCTCCCATCCTCTCCCTTTCCCTCTTCCCTCACCCATTCTCTCCCTCTCCCCCCTCCCCTCTCACCCATCCTCTCCCTTTTCCCCCTTCCCCCCTCACCCATTCTCTCCCTCTCACCTTACCTCCCACTCCCCCTCTCTCCCTCTACCCCTCCCTCCCCATCTCCTTCTACCACCCTCCCCCCTCCCTCTGAACTCCTCCCCCCTCTCTCCCTCTCACCACCCGCTCTCTCCCTTACCACCTCCCTCCCCCTCTCTCCCTCTACCCCTCCCTCCCTCTCTCTCCCTCTACCCCTCCTACCCTACCCCTCCCCCTCTCTCCTCTCAACCCCCCCCCCTTCGAAGTCAGTCGAATGGACCCCAAGAGTTTCCAGCCTGTGTCCATGTCGACGTGTCTCGGCAAGAAAATAATGTTAGCAAAAAGCTGGGTTCATCTTTTTAATCTTTTATTTTTTTCTCTTCTCTCTCTCTCTCTTTCTCTTCTTCTCTTCTTCTCGGCTTCTCGTCTTGCTCTTGATTCGTATTTGGTTTTGTGTGAGTTTTTATTTTTATTTTCTTATTTTGTTGTTGTATTTTTGATGGTGATTTAAAGATTATTTGTTTATTCTTATTTTTTCTTATTTTATTTTCTTTTTTTTTTTGTCAGTCAAAACACGCTTTTACGTCTCTCGCCACCTCTCTTTCTCATTCTTGTATCTTTATTCTTATTTTTATTCTAATTCCTCCTCTTTTACTTCTTGCTCCGTATCTTCTTAATTCTTTTTTATGTTTATTTCTTATTCATCTTCTTTTTTTATTACATTTTATATATTTTTTTTTACTCTCTTTCCTTAATGAACTTCCACACTCTTTGTGAATCATTCGTGCTGGAAACGTAATAAAAAAAAAACGAAAAAAAGTGAAAAAAGAGAATTAAATTTGGAAAATGATTTAGCCGCGTGGAATGGCTGAGTGTGAGTGATTACTGGCGTCACTGAACGAAATGTTGTGAAACGAGATACATTTGGGAGTGGATTTTTAATTAATGTATATATTTTTTACCTTTTTTTCGTTTTCTTTTTTTTTTGTTTAATTTTTCCCCGTTTTTCATTTTATTTCAATTGTTTTCTGTATCATTTCTCCCTATTTTTTTCTGTATAATTTTGTCTGTCTGTTTTATACTGTCTGTCATTTTTTCCGCAAATTTGTATTTACATAATTGTCAGAAGTGGAATATAATTTGTTTGTTTTTTCTCACTGTCGTTCTCAAATGTTGTCAGTCTATTACGATATATTTCATGTGTTTTTTTGCATTATCTCTGTAAAAAAAACGATGAAAAAAGATAAACATTATTTTTATCAAGCAAATGTTTCTCTATGTATATATGGTTATCTCTCTCTCTATCTATCAGCTTTCTCTTTTCCTCTTCCTCCTTTCTGGTGTCTTCCGTCAATTAAAGCATACCTTCCTATCTATCTATTCATCTATTCCTCTATTCTTTCTCATCTTCACTGCCTCCTCTCTTACGTCCGCTGAAGGAGATAGAAAAGAAATCATAATTATTTATATCCATCAACACACTATATAATTTCCCTCTATCTCTTTCTCTCATTGTGTTAATTAGATAAAATGTCTGATAACTTATCTTTACCTCCTCTTTTATTCTTTCCTCCCCCCCCTCTCTCTATGTATTTATCTCTCTCTCTTTATGCAATTTATCTCTCTCTCTCGATCTATTTATCTATCTGTCTGTCTCTCTCTCTCTCCCCCCTCCCCTCCTCTCTCTCTCTCTCTCACTCTCTCTCTCTCTCCCTATCTCTCCTCTTCTCTGTCTCCCTAATTCGGTAAAAAGGGGGGAAATCCTTCCTCCTTCACCCCTGTTTCTCCCCTACTCTTTCCGTATCTTGAAAGAGGGAAAGGAAAGAATAAAGACAATAAAGAATCAATGAAGATTAAAAATGTGAATGTCTATTCTTAAAAAAGACGATAAAGAATCAATGACGATTAAAAATGTGAATTATTTCCATGTGCACACATCAATTGCATTTTTTCTCTCCCCTTTACATAAAAAAGAAAGAAAGAAACAGAAAAAAGAAAAATGAAAAGAAAGAAAGAAAAGAGAAAGACAGAAAAAGAAAGAGAAAAAGCAATATAGAAAAAAGAAAAAGAAGATAGAAAAAAGAATTAAAGAAAAGACAGAAAAAGAAAGAGAAAAGAAAGAGAGAGAGAAAGAAAGAAAAGACAGAAGAAAGAAAGAGAAAAAGAAAGAAAGAAAGAGAATAGATAGAAGTATAAAAAAAAAGAAAGAGAGAAAGAAGAAAGAAAGACAGAAGAAGAAGAGAATAAAAAAGAAAGAAAAAGAAAAGAAAGAAAAAAAAGAAACAGAGAAAGAAGGAAAGAGACATACATATTTTCTCTTCTGAAACTCCTATTATGTAGACAACCCGTCATTCCAAAATTTCGTCTCAAAAATCTAAAAAATTCGGAAAACGTACGGTATGTAGACTTTTTTTTTTTTTTTTTTTTTTTTTTTTGATAAATGTCAGCATAACAAGAAATGCGTTTGACAAGACAGGAGTAAAATTCAGAGTTGAAAATTTCTGAATGTTTTCTTGTGGTCGTATTTTTAAAACTTTTTATTTACATTGTTCACCTTTGTAACATTGTTGAAGTTAGCCCCAAGGACGAAAAAAAAAATAATTTTGTATCTTCATGTTGTTGTTTTTTTCTCGTTTCTGTTTTTCTTTCCATTCTCTATTCGCTTTTATCTTCACGACAAAATAATTTAATTTCTTAGCCACTATCATCATTCTTTTTCATTATGGTTCTCCTTATCAAAATAATATAATGAAAGCAATATCATTATCATTATTTCATTATAATTGCGCTTTGTCGCATTATGAAAAAAAAATCAACCACTTCAGTATCCATTTCCTGATTTGATTTCATTTCATAACATTTTACACTCGACATGTAGATAGTTTCATTAAAAAAAAAAACTTGACACTAAATACCTGTATCATTAATAAAACACATCATTTGATATCACGAACCGCTTACCGTCCATCCGAATTCCCAAACGAGACGATAACACGACCATGCAAAGAGATAGGAAAGGAATTTGCAACACGAAAATTTGCGCAGTTGATCGTTATTTTGCGGTCCGAGTCGTTAAAATGGCGAAGGAGCGGCCCTTCCCATGCAAATGCACTCTCTGTGGCACCCTGCTTGCTTGCACTGTGCCTGGAGGACCTGCTTGCTTGCACTGTGCCTGGAGGACCTGCCTGCTGTGCCTGGGAGACCTGCTTGCTTGCACTGTGGGAGGAGCCTGCTTGCTTGCACTGTGCTGGAGGACCTGCTGCTTGCACTGTGCCTGGAGGACCTGTGCCTGACCTGCTTGCTTGCACTGTGCCTGGAGGGCCTGCTTGCTTGCCTTGCACTGTGAGGCTGGCTGCACTGTGCTGGAGGACTGCTTGCTTGCACTGTGCCTGGAGGACCTGCTTGCTTGCACTGTGGCCTGGAGACCTTGCTTGCTTGCACTGTGCCTGGGAGACCTGTTGCTTGCACTGTGCCTGGAGGACCTGCTTGCTTGCACTGTGCCTGGAGGACCTGTTTGCTTTGCACTGTGCCTGGGGCCTGCTTGCTTGCACTGTGGGGGACCTGCTTGCTTGCACTGTGCCTGGGACCTGCTTGCTTGCACTGTGCCTGACCTGCTTGCTTGCACTGTGCCTTGCTTGCTTGCACTGTGCCTGGGGGACCTGCTTGCTTTGCTGAACTGTGCCTGGAGGACCTGCTTGCTTGCACTGCTGGGGACCTGCTTGCTTGCACTGTGCCTGGAGGACCTGCTTGCTTGCACTGTGCCTGGAGGACCTGCTTGCTTGCACTGTGCCTGGGGGACCTGCTTGCTTGCACTGTGCCTGGAGGACCTGCTTGCTTGCACTGTGCCTGGAGGACCTGCTTGCTTGCACTGTGCTGGAGGCCTGCTTGCTTGCACTGTGCCTGGAGGACCTGTTTCTTGCACTGTGCCTGGAGGACCTGCTTGCTTGCACTGTGCTGGAGACCTGCTTTGCTTGCACTGTGCCTGGGGACCTGCTTGCTTTGCACTGTGCCACTGTGCACTGCTGGAGGACCTGCTTGCTTGCACTGTGCCTGGAGGACCTGTTGCTTGCACTGTGCCTGGGGGACCTGCTTGCTTGCACTGGCCTGGAGGCCTGCTTTGCTTGCACTGTGCCTGGAGGACCTGCTTGCTTGCACTGTGCCTGGAGACTGCTTGCTTGCACTGTGCCTGGAGGACCTGCTTGCTTGCTTGCACTGTGCCTGGAGGACCTTGCTTGCTTGCACTGTGCCTGGAGGACTTGCTTGCTTGCACTGTCTGGGACCTGTGCCTTGCTTGCACTGTGCCTGGGGGACCTGCTTGCTGCACTGTGCTGGAGACCTGCTTGCTTGCACTGTGCCTGGAGGACCTGCTTGCTTGCACTGTGCCTGGAGGACCTGCTTGCTTGCACTGTGCCTGGGGGACCTGCTTGCTTGCACTGTGCCTGGAGGACCTGCTTGCTTGCACTGTGCCGGGGACCTGCTGCTTGCACTGTGCCCTGCTTGCTTGCACTGTGCCTGAGGACCTGCTGCTTGCACTGTGCCTGGGGGCCTGCTTGCTTGCACTGTGCCTACCTGCTTGCTTGTGCCTGGAGGACCTGCTTGCTTGCACTGTGCCACCTGCTTGTGGTGGGGGGACCTGCTTGCTTGCACTGTGAGTTGCACTGTGCTGGGGCTGCTTGCTTGCACTGTGCCTGGAGGAACCTGCTTGCTTGCACTGTGCCTGGGGGACCTGCTTGCTTGCACTGTGCTGGAGGTGTGTGCCTGGGGACCTGCTTGCTTGCACTGTGCCTGGAGGACCTGCTTGCTTGCACTGTGCCTGGAGGACCTGCTTGCTTGCACTGTGCCACCTGCTGCTTGCACTGTGCTGGGGGACCTGCTTGCTTGCACTGTGCCTGGAGGACCTGCTTGCTTGCTGTGCGGACCTGCTTGCTTGCACTGTGCCTGGGACTGCTTGCTTGCTTGCCACTGCTTGCTTGCACCTGGAGGACCTGCTTGCTTGCACTGTGCACCAGGGACCTGCTTGCTTGCACTGTGCCTGGAGGACCTGCTTGCTTGCACTGTGCCTGGAGGACTGCTTGCTTGCACTGGAGGACCTGCTTGCTTGCACTGTGCCTGGAGGACCTGCTTGCTTGCACTGTGCCTGGAGGACCTGCTTGCTCTCGTCTCTGCTTTGTTCTTGTGCTTGCTTGTTTGTCCTTGCTTTGTCCGTCTGTCTGTCTTCTTTCTGTGAAGGTTTTTTTGTTTGTGTGTTTGTCTAAGTGTCGTTCTCTCTTTCGATTCTTCTCTCATTTTCTGTCTGTCTGTCTGTCTGTCTGTCTCTTTCTCTCTCTCTCTTCTCCCTCCCTTTCCCCCTCCCTTCTCTCTCTCTTCCCTTCCCCCTTCTCTCTCTCCCTCCCTTCCCCCTCTCTCTCACCCCCCCTCTTGATTTTGAATGTAATACTGGCGATAGTGTAAACGAGAGTGTCTAGTCTCAGTTCTTTATAATAATTACAACAATAACAATAACAATTCCAATAATCAAAATAACGACAACACCAATAATAAATCAACAATCACAACAGCAATAATAACAACC